AATTGTAAACTAAAACGTATCATTACAAGTAATTATTTTACTCTATTGTTTCAAACCGTCAGATACTTCTCCTGATACAAACATAAAGATCTGTTGAAGAATGTCTAATGCTGGGTTTCAGGGAGAAGAGTGAGTGCTGTAGATGAGACGGTATTAGAAGGGAAAGGGAACTAACCGATTGACTTTTTTGACCTGTATAAAGCGCTTTTTTCCAATACAGTTTTCTCGATTTAACGGGCATTAATTTCTCCCTGTTAAAACAACTTCTGAAATTATTCGATCCGTTGGAAGAAATCACTCGCAATGTTTCATCTGCTACGACATCAACGAGCCATATTCACATCCTGGTGACGGCGCTATGTGTTGGCCGTCAAACGGCTTGAAAGCCGGCCGTATGATTGCATGTATTGTATAGACAGAACGCAAGAAAACAGTATCTATATGCAGCGACCTCATCAGGATGTGAATATGGCTCACTGTCTCGCTTGTTCTGCCGCTTTTAACAGCAGTACTCAATCTGTCTGAACACGACTTCACGCAAATTGATGATATGCGGGATGCAATGTTAAAACAAACGGTGAAATGGTTTAAGGATTCGTTTAAGAACAAATTCTATTTGATTTGTTTCTGCCAATGAGTACACATTGTATCTCAGCGAACAGGAAATTCGTGAAAACAAATGTGCACTTGTATGGTGGCGTGAAAACAAGGAACGATATCCTAACATTGCAAAAATAGCACGCAAGTATCTTTGTGTTCCAGCGACAAGCACGCCATCCGAACGTGTTTTTTCTCTAAGTGGGTACATCACGAGTGATCGACGTTCACGATTATCGCCTGAATGTGCCGTGCCAATGATGTTATTTTTTTGAACAAAAACTACCAATTCAAAGATTAAGCAGCAAAGCCGTTCTCATTGATCTCCTCGCTCAAGTAATGCCTCTTTTCTCAGTGTAAACAGTGATCTTATTATTACTTTGTTTGTCACTATTCTTAATCAGATGTAATTCAGCGTGCCTCTCTTTTGGAGAACTAACTAATGCTTCGATATTTATCACAACAGTTGTACATACGTCAGAAATGTTTTACTTGTGTTAAAATTTAGCTTTTGAACATATAAATGTTGTAGAATATGAACGAAAAAGGACTCAAGGCAGGCAAATAATTCTAAAACAGACGCGCTATACTCTCCAGCAAGCTATTTGAGTTTGTCTTCTTCTTTGCATGCACCTTTCACACTTTCACGATTTTTTCTAAACGACTAACGGACAGACAGACAGACAGAAAAGAAAACAGATATATGAAATGAATGAAAGTGAAAGTTTCGTTATTCATTCTCATTTCGTCTAAATGAAACACTACTATACGTGGATAACGTTATAGAAAAGAAAAGAATTCTCGTTTGACGTTACTCACAGAGAACGGAAAAATATAACGTCAGTCATTCATCTCATCTCTAATTACAAGTACTTACATAGAAAACATGTGTTGTAAGTTTTATTATTTTTCGTATGAACGTTTCTCTATCAAACAAAAACACAACCTCGAAGTTTGGTTAAGAAATGGCGAAGTTATTAAAGATTTTTATTAGGTAGTGACTTTTAGGACACCCTGTAGTGAAATTATGTCCTTGGTGAAGACCACGAACGCTCAAAATCCAACACATTAATATTTTTAAAAGGAAAGCTAAATGGTCTTGATCCCAGTATACGTGTTGATTATGATGCATCACATAATTTTATATCTAAAGATTCTGTTAAATGTCATGATTTACAAGCAGATACAGTTGGACGTATGTCTATTAGTGTAGCTAATGGTATTAAATCATATACGGATAAAGTGTTGATACGTTTTAGTTTACAATTGGATGATTTTAATAATAAATTAGTATCGGCATATGTATTGGATGTTTCCAAGCAGATCCGTTCATTTATAGAAAATATCATACATTTTTATATGTACTATTTTCCTGATAGAAGTGATAAATTTGGTTGTAATTCTGGCGAAAAGCATCCTATAGAAGAATGTTTAATTGTTACGACAGGTCGACATTTGTGCTTTTTTTGAATATTTAAGAGAAAAATATGGTTTTCGAATTAAATTTCATTTGAATCCATGACAAAAACAAGAATGAACATTCTCACTATACGCTCGAAAACCAGGAGCTTCACGGTCATTCTAGCCTGAAGCATGGGTGGTATAATCAAGTCTAATGATGGACACTTACTCGATGTTTTCGTCTATTCAGGAGTAATTTGAATGAGGTCATTTTATCTGAGAAACACACTAACGGAAAAAAACAAATAACTAAAAATAATAGTTCATCTTTAATCAATTCGAGTTTTTTAGGTGAGTAATTTCATGAGAACACCATGATTAATCGACCCTAAACCGGTCACCAAGTCAAACTGTTTGGCAGCAGAAAAGCCATATTTACAACATTCTGGCGATTCATTACAGTTATTTTTTCCTTTGGTTATATCGAAAAATGCATCCGGATGTTTGTCTGCCAAACCGTACAATAGTGGATTTAGAAAGCCTAATGGCTTCATTCCTTGATTTAATCGACGATCATTGATCAGACTAAACATGCCGGCTGCTGAAGGACTGCTGGCGGATGTGCCTAAAAAGCTATGAATATTATCTCTTATAACTCTAACTACCTACACTTACCACCCACAAAAAGATCGAAGTTTCCACTATCTTTTGTTATATAGTCATGTGCGATTAAGCTGATATCGGGATAAGCTCGATTAGATTCATTGAAATAGCTCAATGGCGGTAGTTGTTTGTCTTTGGCTGTCAGCTTTAAATAACTTTCAACGCTCTTGTTCTGATATGTTGGACAGGAGTTATATTGTGAAAACCCACCCCCAGTTGTAATTAAACATCCTGTAATCTTATTAGTATATGCAGCTATTTCTTCTAAACACACATTCGGCTCCTGTGGGATAGATCTTGCACAATTACTCGTATCATTGCTTCGAACTAATTGTGTGCCACCCACAGTGGTGACAAAGGGTGATGATGCCGGATATAGTGGACTGAAAGGGCGTCGACAGACATTATCAGGTTGAGATATTCCCCAATCGCCTGATGCAACAAGGATACTTTTGCCCGTTAGTCCGAGTTTTATGAACTGTAGATCACAAATCTGAACATACGTTTCTCCTAGTTCACCTTCGTCAGCACCATACGAAATGGAATAAACGAGTGGGACAATGTTCGTTTTGTTGTATTCAAGAAAAGCTAATTGGACAAAAAAGTCGATTAAAAATCCGTCAAAATTCGCCGGTGATGATATGTAATCTGTGGGTATTCCAGAGCCCATAGCAGACATATATTGTAAATCTAGTGAAGTCTCGCCTTCATCGTATGTTTTGTCTTTATAATCACTACCATATATCTTTCCGAATGTGAGAGAAAAATTTTCACCATATGTGCGGGCGAACGATTTGAACGAATTCAGATTTAGATATTCGTCAAAGCCGACTACAGCTTGTCGACTATTTGCATTTCGTGTTTCGTTTTTATCATCATCTACATTGTACAAAGATACCAGTACATCAGGTGTGACAGTGCTCACTTTTTCTGTTGGCGATGGATACGCAACTTTATCCGAAGAGTTGGTCTTGAATATAGATTGAATGGTGATTTGGTATGCCTCATAATTACTGATATCTGTTTCATTGTTCAAAAAGAATCGACATAAGACACTGTCGTTGCTCAAACTAAAAGCAGTACAATATAGCGCATTGATTGCCGTAGCATTTCTGCAAACTTGACAGTTTGTATCCGCTATAGGTACTTCACGTGTGACCAAGTTCTTGTCTTGCTGAAGTTCAATTTTGAAACCTTCAAAGTCGTTTCCACATAGGGAATTTGATGCCTGTTTACCATCAGCACAAATCAATTGAATGTAAAATAGAAATTTTGAAAAACCACTGCCAATACGTAAGATTATCGGGGCATTGGACTTTGCAGTTTTAGCTGATATTGGTACAATCGTTTTCTTCTTAGTACTAGTAGCAGGAAATCGAGTTAAACCTTCAATGTAAGCGATGTGATGATGAATGATCTCTGGCAATCGATATTCGGTTGCTCTCAGTGTTCTCTGACCGGTCGTTCTGTGTCGATACGTATAGAGTTTTGTTTGGAATAGACATTCAATTTCGCCGACTGCTGCTTCGATGACAATAAACTCTTTGTATGCTGTGGATGCTACTCGAACTGAATACTTCTTTGCCCATTGTTCAATAGCTTTACCATTTTTTGCTGTCTCAGGCAACATCATTTCATGTATCTCGTCATAACTCATGTAGTTCTCATACGAGGGATGTGTTGGATCTGTTATTTGTTCAAATTTCTTTTTTAGTTGTTTCGCTTCTTTTTCGTGGTTTCTTGTGACAACAATCAATCGTACCAATGTAGTGGTACTATTCTCTGCTACATCGTAGGTGAGATCCCATTGATCTGTAGGGACTTTTACCACTGTTTTCTTTACACTATCACCACGTAAACCAAGGATTAATGAACCGCTCAAAAAGAATGACCAAAAGTACATTTCACTTGATGCTTTTTCTTCAATAAACAATTCATGAGAAGTTAGATTGGAAATTACCAATGCGTCCGAATGAGGAAAAGAGTAGAATTTGCAACCTGAACTGTATATATATGTTGCAGGCTGTACTAAAATTCAGATAGATTTTAATTTGGCCTAGGCTACATTAAAGTTTTAAGTTAGCCTAGGCGAAAGTAAAATCAAGCAATGAAAGATAGATTTATGACAAAGAATGAAATGAGTATAATAAAAATTTATGTCACTTAATGATTTGATGCAGAAATACAAGGCTCCACCCGCTAAGCTTGATATAAGTATATTTGACGTATGCCTGCTTGATACACATAGAATTTTTGATTAATTTCTATTATCTTTTTGATTAATTTAAAGTATTCAAAAGAATAACGGCTTTATTCATAAATAACGTAGTGCGAAAGAAATTTTTATTAACTGTTCGCTGAGACATTCTGAGCTCATTATATTTCGCTCTTCTCTGCCTTTCTCAAATCGATCTGTGTTGAAATAAAAACAAAGTATGATGCTTCTGATCACGTGCACAACGATCTTCAATGTCGCAACGGTTTTTTCTTTCCATTACAAATATAGACTCCTAACTTAAGTTGAGTATATGCAGTATACTACAAGACTATTCGGACATTAATCATTGATTTTAACGTAACGCACATTTCTGAGCAAAAAAGCGACTTCAAGACGGACCTTTTACCGCCGGTTCTTGTGATTCTAAAAATTTTTTAGATTTTCTTATTCGGCAAGATTAAAGCCTCCTTCTGTCAACTGTTATTCAGTTTGCAAAAATCCACTAAGCTTTTCTGTTCGGAATAGCATCAGAAAATTTGGTGCTCGCTCCACGCTGAACCAAATTAGATAAGAATTGGGTGCCAGATGCAAAATTTCTCAGTGAATCCAACAACGGGTTCCTTTTAATTCCATTCTGACTTCTTCTTTGGCGTTGACATAATCTACGTGGTTTCTGTTTAAATTTCATTTTTCTCATGCGTTGAAGAAAAAGGCGCCAGTGAGAAAGGCAAAACCTATGTCGACGTGGTTTTTTATCTAATTTGGTTCAATGTGGAACGAGCACCAAATTTTCTAATGTATATAGCGATTATTTCTTGTGAATCGTTGTTTCATCGAATAGGTATTGCTTCTTTTCCGTTTCAATCTTTTATACAGGACAAAATGAGAAAAAAGATACCAGTATGAATGCACAATGGATGACGTATACAAAGGTATGTATAATATCACAGGCAATAAGGGGAACGGCGAGATGAAACTCAGAGGATCGGCCATAAAAACTCGGATCTTTTCTGTGTTTTTATGGAAGTTTTTGTGGGTGAGATCCATCCAAAATTCATAACTTTACTTTAGTTTAAAACAAGTACACATTAAAAAAATATTACAGCTACATTACCATTATGAAAAAGTAAGTTATAAAATCTTCAAAGGCGATTACCGTCCTCCAAACTGAAAAATTGTTTTATTCATGTGCTTTTCTTTCAAAGAGAAAACACTGTGCTATTAGATTCCTAATCAACAACGGTAAGAAAAGAAAACAGAATAAAATCTGTTATTCATTTATTTTTGATGAAATGTCTGAAACGAAGAAATCACTGACGCGTGGAGGACGCTCTTTCATTGCGTAGGAGTATCTGATGGAAAGAGAAACAGGACTTAATATGTGTTACTTCAAAGGAAATGTGTGATTAGACTGTGCTTCGCACCTCAGGGAAGGAGCATTATTAGCCTAGAAAACCGATGTCACCGGGTTCGATTCCAGGTTGAAGCGTACATTTTCGTTCTCGAGTTTGTCTCTTAGTTTCTCTCAAGCTGCAAAATATGTACACTAAGTAGCTCAAATTCATTTCTCTGATTTTTCGCTTTTATTACTAACTCTCCCACAATAGAAGGGCATTGGGTCAAACTTTTTACGGATGGCCTTCTATCAGTGATGGCGTTCTAATCGGACCTTTCAACTAAAATTTTCTAAAAGTTTTCGAAACTCGTAAAAGCTTAGAATAATGATTTTTCACAACAGTTAACTAATTGGTGCTCGAGGATACTCAGCAATTGAGAGCTCGAGTTTTAGACTGTTTGTACATCTCCGAAGCTTTACACAGCGAAAACAGGCATATGAAAGTTCCTGCTACGGGATTCGCGGTTTCTAGAAGTCAAATCCTGAAAAGTTTTCCATCGCTCCCCTTTAATTAATCTGCCATAACTAACTAATTATATGTCTGAATTGTACATTTAGCAGCTATGGACAATTCAGACATTTATTGTGAAAATCCTGTCGTTAACGTCTAACTGATTACAGTTTAAAAATTAGCTCTTTCTCTGCATGTACAATAGAGTTCTTCAAAGTTTAATTTTTCCGATGCAATGAGTCACTCTATCGAGGTCCTCTAAAAGTATATCTCATATTGGAAGAAAGACAGTTATTCAACTAAGCGCATTTGGACACAACAAACACCTTCATTCTGCTGAAAAGAATAAAAAGCTCGAACCCAAAATGCTTCCAATACCACTGTGAGTGTGATCGACCAACATGATTTCAGATGTAAGTGCCACTGTTATTTGAGACCCATAGATTTCTAGATGAAACTCGACGCTTGAAATATATTGTTTCTGTCGCGCAAGGACAAATTCTAGAAACTTTCATGAGACATGAGGGGCTAGTCAATCACGCGAATTGTTAATTATTTATATACATTGGGCGTTTCATTCAAGGTAAGTACTCATCATTAACTATCGAAATTATAATCAGGTCACATTTGCCTGTCACATTAGAACAGAATCTATTAGGTAAACGATCAACAAGGCGAAAAGAGTAGTGTATACTATTTCATCATATGCCTTAAAAATAACTTTTTGACGATGGTGTGACCAGCATAATGTTTTCGAACCTAAAATGTATGTTACAAAACAAAATATAGAAACTTTACTATCAACACTATCTATCACCAAGAAGGATCTGGTTCCAAGCCATAATTCCAGTCGAAAACTCGTTTTTATAAAATTGCCTCAAAACCTAAATACTTTAAATTAGAGAAATTTATTTCACTTATTTCGTAATATTATTTGCTCTCAACGCTTTAGGTTCGAATTGGAGGGTTATTAAGCTGCATACTGAAGAAGAAAGTCTCCAATTTGGAGTAAAACCTTGGATAGTTAGTTCTGTCCTCGTTTAGTATCTGAAATATTTATTATATATCTTCTTGAATGATAAAGTTTGTCTCCTCATAATGTGCAGAATAATTTCAGGTGTATAAGTTATTTCTATTTGTCATTTCTATATGCAACATATACAACTTGTTTAATGTGTTAATCATGAATTTAAGAAGACTAACAAGTAATTTATTGGGATCTAATGAAATGAGTTCATTTTTAGTTGAAACTTGTAGTATGTTAAGGCGGGTCCCCCTCAGAATGAAATCTTTTTGTATCAAAAAAGCAATTTGGAGACAAGCACATGGAAAGATAGCCTGAAGTATCTACTTTCAGAATCTGTATCGCTTTTGGGCCTAGAACTGGTTTTTCGTGGTTTTCGCGCAAGTATTCCAGAAGACTTTTTTTTCAGATCAGATCAGATTTTTGAATCAGGCCTTACATCTTTAGAAAAAAAGAACCTTGGAAAAGTTGAAAGGATCTTTCAGGACTTTTTAGGATCTTAGGTCTCTAGAGAACCAACAAAAGCCTAATTAAAAAATCTGATTCCATCAGTCCTCGGAGTTAGGTGTCTGGTTTAAAATAAAACTAACCCGAGATCTCTATCTTGAGCTGTGTTAAGGAAAAGGGATTTACAGTGAAGGATGGTTTTTGGTCTTAGGCTCTAGAAAACTGCGGAACGGTAAGAGGAAGAGAACCAAAAACAATATTGTGATCACACTTGTGGGCAACATTTCTGGAAAGTTTCATCAAAATCGGGTTTAAGACAAAAAGATTCTATTCTGAGGGGGGACCCCCCATTAACTTAGTATTAAAATACAAGCTTTGTTTGTATCTCTCGCTTCATTATTGAGGGATATATAAATAAGGCTCCACTTCTGACCGTTTCTTTTCACAAAAATTTAACTGGCAAAGTGTCCTGAATCTTCGAAACTTGCTCTATATCTTTGTCAAATTTATTATTGTGCTTCTTCTGGCCATCATAAATATATAAATTTATTTTTTCAAAATCTATCGATCATTCGAACACTTTCAGGGTAAAGGTACAACTTTGGATTCCTAACTTTCACCCTCAGCCACAACGTGATAAAGCTGATTAGATATGACCTGTAGCGGTAATAAGACTGAAAACACAGGTTGGTGATTTCAATAAACTGTTCAGTAATAGTTAGTGTTATCAAACTAACCTACGGTGCAAAAGTAATTGGACAAATGTCGAGCATTATTTCTACATGTTCCTGATGTGCTGGAAAGTTAATTATTTTTCCGTTCGAAAGAGCAAAGTCTGAAATTCAGAAAACATGGAAAGCCAAACTTTTTGTGGTTGAGTTTGAGTGAGAAAAAATTTGAATCTCAAGCATCGAAAAAAAAAGCTCTTGTAACTTCCGCTAACTATCTCTCTCATCAAATGCATTTTTCTTCTAATAACTGAGCACGTTTGAAATTATGTAATTATAGAAACTAGAAGTGTTTTTATTGCTCTTTCGAATGGGATGTGATAAATTATCTTTCGATCTACTTTTCAATTAGAAATTTGTAAGTTTTTCATTTGTTTCAGAAAAAGAGTTGATTAGAATTAATCAATAAGTTTCATATACTAAATGATTGATTGATTGATTGATTTTTATTTCGCGACAACAGCACTTTTGGACAGAAAAGAGTAACCTTTTCTGTCCTTTTCTGTCCAAAACTGCTGTTGTCGAAATAAAAGTCAATCAATCAATCAATCGATCAAAAAAAAGGTTTTAAACACCTATAAAAATTGCCACCTTTCTATCCCCTTTCACAGTTGTAGGTGCTGCCTCAGTTTGGTTTGAATCATTTTATTGTTGGCGAGATAACTACAGTGTTGGGGAGAGAGTTCCAATCGCGAGCTGTCCTGTACAAAAAAGATTGTAGAACAGTTTCAGTGCGCACAAAAATGAACTTTGTCCTTTTGCTAAAACACATCTTCTGGAACAGCGTTCAATTCTCTACAGACTCACATTAGCGTTTGTCTTTCCTAACACCGTTTGTGCCATGAACAAAACAGATTTTCTCGATATCTTATCTTGCTGATGCAAAACAGTATTTTTTATCAAAACTAAGTTTTTATATGCGCCTTTATTACTATCAATGAATTAGTGGAAGATTTGCGAAAGTAAAAGAATCGATAGAGTTTTGCGTGGGCGACATTCTCATCTATTTGGTTTTCAGAAAAACTGTCTCTTGCAGGCTACAGTGAAGAAATAAAGAAAAAAGCACTTTACAAGAGCTTTTTTGGGGATGCTTGAGATTCAAATTTTTTCTCACTCAAACTTAACCACGAAAAGTTTGGCTTTCCATGTTTTTGGAAGTTCAGACTTTGCTCTTTCCAATGGAAAAATAATTAACTTTCCAGCATATCAGAAACATGTAGAAATAATGCTCGACATTTATCCAATTACTTTTGCGTCGTAGGTTAAGTGTAACTCGGCTTCGATAAACTTGGAAATAAAAGTAAGGGGGGGGGGGGGGGGGGGGGGGGGGGGGGGGGGGGGGGGGGGGGGGGGGGGGGGGGGGGGG